TCCCGCCTCGGGCGGTAACTAAACGCACCTGCCGCATGTCTCCCTGGGCGGTGAAGATGATGGCTTCCAGACCATCGTCCGTGTACGGCACGTTCTCCTTCTCGATCACGTTCATTAACCTGGTGAGGACCTGGGCGTCCGTCAGCTTCGTGTAGCGGAGGACTGCGCACCTGGACTGGATGGGCTCTGCACGAGACAGGAAGAGGGTGAGGCCCCCTGGCCAAGGATGGCGTCGCCCTGCCGCTTCTTTAGTTTCTCGGAAGCAGCTGCACAACCTGCACAGCCCAGCCACGCCGGCACCACTCTCTGCCCAGCAGATGCTCACCAGTGACTGAGTATTTAAGACTAAATTTCAAAATATTAACCAATAAGCAACAAGAGAGGCCTCAGCCAGTCCTGCCTGGGATGACCGGGGCTGGCCATGGCTTCCAGAAGGGAAAGATCCTTTAAGATAGAGACATCCACATGCCACAGCCGGCAGTGAGCCAGCGCTGGCCCAGGTGGCCCCAAATCACTGTGTGCTGGGTGGGTCATGGCTTGCTGTTTGGGGGGCCCTCCCTATCCAAGCATGAGCTCCTAGAGGGCAGGGACAGAGCCTCACACAGATCTGCAGCCTCCACTGGGCCTCGTGCAGAGTAGATGCTGTGTACACATCTGTCAAGTGGACGAGACTTCAGTTTTCAACCTGTTTCATTTCATGGCACACAAAAACTAATACTAAAGTTCTGCGGCACTCCAAAAATATACTTTTTTGCTGATAAGACAAAAAAAAAAAAAAAAAAAGGTATAATTTTTGATTCATTCACACCGGATGGCTATTGCTGTTAGCTGTTATCACTTTTAAAAAAATGTTTTTATTGATTTTTCAGGGAGAGAGGAAGAAATATCAACGAGAGAGGAATACTGATCGGCAGCCTTCTGCACACCCTCTAATGGGGAACTGAGTCCGCAATCCTGACATCCGCCCTGAACAGAAATCTAACCTGCAATGTCTTGGTGCATGAGTCGACACCCAACCACCGTGCCACACCAGATGAGCTGTAATTTTTTTATTTGACAATCGAGGGAAAGAGGTCAGTGTTCCTGACTAACTAGGCATTGCATGTTTTAAAAAGTCTTACACACCAGGTGAAAATTGCTGACTTATCTGAAAGCAGGAAGCCTCACAACTGAACCTTATTAGCATATTTGATTTATCAGCAGACAAGAGAAAGAGCATTAGGAACAGGAATACATATTTTAAGGCCATTAATATTCTAACTACAATGGAAGTTTCCTTTAGTCAATTTTTATCTCTTGAGACATTCCAAAAGCAGAATTCACAGAATTTAAATATATGTCAGAATAAGGCAGCGTGGCCTTCCTCAAAGTGCACCCATCTTTCAACGCATGGCTCCAGGAACCAAAGAGAGACTGGGCTACTAAGTTTCACAAGTTAGCTCTGCAGCAATTTGATCATAAACCATTTCCTCCAAAGCTGAGAAATAAATTCCTTTAGAGATTTCATTTGTTTGCTATATCCCTTTAAAAATTAAAGTTAATTCAAATGCTCACAAAAATTATGTATCACAAAAATTACTTTCATAAAAAGCGAAGGCCAGAGCTGACTCCACCAACACGTGCAGGTTCAGATCACACAGCCCTGAGCAAAACGCACTGGGGGAGGCCTCTAAGTGTGACAGGGCCCCTGCCCTCATGGTTCCCATGGCTACGGAGACAAGCCCCAAACACCCATCAGTCAAAAAACTTTTCGCAGTTTCCTCCACCACACCACTGATGTCTTGAAGGTAGAGAATGTTTCTCATTAAACGTTGTATGACCTATATTGATGGTACCCGCCATCTACTGAGACCACCAGAGTAAATGCTTATTGAGTGAATAGCTGACTAAATTAATAAACAAATAATGACTATCTAGGTATGGTAAAAGGCCTAAAGGATTCCTGGTAACACAAAGAGCCCACCAACTTTGTGGGGGCATCATGATTGATAACCAGCTTGTTTGCAACAGTGCACATTGGTCCTGGGAGATGGGGACTGTTGGGGCGGGGGCAGGGAGAGTCAGATGGCTGAGCTCACACAGGGTGGGGTTTAGTGGGCGGATGTGAGGCAAGGACAGCGGGACAAAAGAGCTGTGAGAAATGGTGAGACAGAGAAAGCTGGACTCTGCTGAAGTCTGCATCAGAAAGGGAAGGATGTGAGCCCTGAATGGTTGTGGATATGTACAGGGGTGCAGGTTCAGTCCCCAGCCCATTCTGAACTTGTGCGGGAGGCAACCAAATGATGTGTTGATGTGTCTCTCTCACATTGATTTCTCTCTCTCTCCCCCCCACCCCCCACTCTTGCCTTCCACGCTCCACTCTCTCTAAAAAATCAATGGAAAATATCCTGGGAAGAGGATTAACAAGACAAAACAAAAAGAGAAAGAGAAGGATATGAAACCACCAGGAAACTGCGATGTTGAAAGGGAGATAAAACCGTGAGGAAAAATTGATGGAGCGGGGCCTGGAAGAACAAATGCCAGGTCAGAGAGGAGACTAACATGTAAGGCTTCACAGGTGAAGCAATTGCTGGCAGTAACCAAGTCCGGTGTGCAGACGCAGTGCATGTGCAGTACTCAGACACACAGAAAGTGCAGCATCATGTCTGGAGAGGGGCACTGACTATGACACTGTGCGTAGGATACCCAAATGTCACGTGTGCTTGTGATGGAGCAAGAGGCAGAAAGATGTGGGGTTCCAACCTCAGCTCCTCCACTTGCTATGCGACCTTGGGCAAATTACTCAACCTCTCTGAGCTCCAGTTTTCTCATCTCTAATGCGGAGTGGATAACACCTCTGCAAATAATTATGTAAGATTAAATTAAAAAGTTGATTACACAGCATAGTGCTTCGCTCACAACAGGCAAGCAAAAAGTCCCTGCTCTTCTGTTGCTAAAGAGCCAAATGAGCCCATGCAGACCGCACGACACCCAGAGCTGACCCTCACCTATGATTTTATCTGAAGCATTACAAGCAAGAGCAAAGCGAGTCGTTTTGGAGTAGATTTCCATGGTTCTCCTCAAGGCTTGCTGGGCTCCATCAGTCATGCTGAGAAGAAAAATATAAGATTGCAGTTGGCAGCTGTGACCTGGGCCCGAGGGACACAAATCCCTCCCTCAGAGACTGGGAACCTGACCTCCTGACTGGGCATGCTCAGCCTCTCCTCAGCCTGTTTGGGCCTTCCACGGGCAGGCTGCACGTGGGCACAGAGCGGAGGCTCTGCAGCCAGGCTGCCCAGCCCACCTTGAAGTCCTTTCATCTGCTAGTTTGGAGACCACAGGTACATTATCTGAGCCTCAGTGTCCTTACCTATAGGAGATAATGACACTGCCTACGTCAGAGGGTTGTTGATGACAATTAAGTGAGATAATAACATGTAGAGTACCTGGGATAATGTAAAGCTTACATATAAGTGCTTAATAAATGATGGCTATTACTGCTATAATGTTATAGTAAAATAGGTTAAGGTATAGCGAACTATGTACTATAACATGGCAATTACAATATTCCCAACAAGATTATAATAATTGTGGAGCACTTCTTTTTATATTAAAAGAAAAAAACAGGATACAAAAATTACATATATTATGATCTCAACATGTAAAAATATATAGCGTAGAAAAAGAAAATAAAACAAGATATTAATAATGTTTTCTAAATTTTCTTCAAAGAATATGAATTACTTTTTTTAAAATGTCATTTAAAACTTTTCATTTATACCGGTGATGGCTAACACTGTGAATGTACTAAATGTCACCGAATTATACACTAAAATGGTTAAAAATGGTAAATTTTATGTTATGTGTATTTCACCACAATAAAAAAAATTTTAAATTATTTATCATGTAAGTGATGCTGGAACAAACATATTAACAAATGTTGATAAGTTAATTAAGTTGACTTTAGGGCTCAGGCTCCTATTAAATTGCTTTTGAAGATAAGCAAATATACCACAAAAGTGCAAAGGCAAGGCTTTCTCTCTAGACTTAATAAAGCCAGATAAGAGATTTAGAGATCAAGGTCAAACGTTTGGAAAGCACTCTACCTGTCTGCTTCATCCAGGATGATGATCTTGTGTCGTCCTTTGGGGAGGGTGACTTTCTGCTGGGCAAACATTTTGATTTTGTTTCTTACAACATCGATGCCCCTGGAACAACAAGCCGGAATTAACCATCACCTTCCGGACAAAACCAGGGACCTTCGTGGGAACTTTAACCCTCATCATCGTCACAGACCCAATTTTCGTTTTGAAGTTTCCTTTTTGAGCAATTCTATTTCCAAGAATTGAAATTTCATTACTTTTATTCCTTTTTGGAGGTTTTCAGAACAAAGAAAAAATTTACTGCTTAAAATATAATGAGATTCATTTTATCTTGCAATTACCATATGGGTTCACTGAATAATTTTACAATCTCAGATTTATTTTAAAGTCTTAGTGATCTTATTCTTCCTGTATCTTAAAACTGTTTGGTATTTCATCATCCTAGTAATTATTTCATGGTTACTCACCAATTATTCCCAACTATGCTAAAAATAACTAAAATAATAAGAAAATGAAAGAATCATTGCCTAAAAGAACAATGCAATAGTGAGAGAAAAATACTATTACTATTGTCTCATACTTCATTTTTTGTGTGTTCTTGAGGTACTATATTGTCTTTCTAGAAGGCATAAAAGAAGTTCAGATACTCTGTCTTTTCTATCTTTTTTAAAGTTTTCACTGACCCCAACTTAAAAAAACATCAAAACTTATCATTTTCCATGCACAATGTCAAAGAGAAAAAAATGACAGGAAGATGTTTCATAATTATTGGACAAATCAGAAAATGATTGAAGAGGAGCGAATAGCACTCTGGCCTCTAATGATGGTGAAACTGATCACATAAGCAACATCTCAGATCATGCTTCCTCAGATGCCAAAATCCTAGGTGAATTTTCTCAAACTTAAGAATCAAGGTGTGTGTTCGCTTTGGCAACACATTTGTGAAAACCGGATGACACAGAGAAGATTAGCATGGCTCCTACACAAGGACGACATACAAATTTGTGAAATGTCGCCGGGACCGGTTTGGCTCAATGGATAGAGCGTCGGCTTGGGGACTGAAGGGTCCCGGGTTCGATTCCGGTCAAGGGCATGTACCTTGGTTGCGGGCATATCCCCAGTAGCGGGTGTGCAGGAGGCAGCTGATCGATGACTCTCTCTCATCAATGTTTCTAACTCTCTATCTCTCTCCCTTCCTCTCTGTATAAAATCAATAAAATATATTAAAAAAAAATTTTGTGAAATGTCCTATATTTTAAAAATCAGTAAGTCATGGGGATGTGATGAACAGCATAGGGAATACAGTCAATAATACTGTATAGTGTCAAATGGTTACTAGACTTACCATGGTGATCACTCCATTAGGTGTATAAATGTTAAATAAGGACAAACACTAAATATATCTGGCTAGTCACTCAACAGGAAGGACTTCATTCCCAATATCCTACAGTAAGAATTTGACCTTCTGTTTTGATAAAAGAACACATGACAGCACTCTTTCATCTTTTATGTTTGTATACCAACATTTATAGGGTACAGTTTGTAAGTGATCAAAAGCTAACGGCAGGTTTGTATACAAAGGTGATATAGAAATGCAAAAAAGTCACTGTATTGATCATTCAAATAGGTTTTTATAAATCTAAAATTAAAAGTATTTTATAATTATGGGCTATTCTTTCTTCAAAATTATGAGTCACAAAGTTTTAAAAAATAATGAGTTTGATGATGCAAGTGTGAGAAGAACAAGAGGTAGTAAGAATCAGCATTGACAAAATGTACTGATTACAGGCTCATTCATGACAGCTGACGAGCAGTTAGTTGCATTCCAAGGACATTTGCCTGTTTCAAGTCTACATAGATCTTTCAAGGTTAGTACAATATTAAAGAACTGAGACCTGCATCCCCAAGAAATAACCAAAAACAGACTTTGAAAACTTTTTATTTAACAAGTCCTCATTTCATAATACTCTATTTTATGTCTGAAAAGTAAACCAGTACCTCATACCATTAGGATGGCTACTAATACCAACAAACCAAAAAATAAGTGTCAGTGAGGATGTGGAGAAATTGGAACCCTTGGACACTGTTAGTGGGAATGTAAAAGGGCGCAGCCACTATGAAAAACAGCATGGAGGTTCCCCAAAAATTGAACACAGAATTACCAAATATAATCTAGCAATTCTAAGCATATATCCAAAAGAATTAAAAGCAGGGTCTTAAAGAGATATTTATACACCCATATCAAAGCAGCATTTTCGCAATTCACAAATGTCCCAAAGATCAAAGCAACCCAAGCATCCATCAATGGATGAATGAATAAGCAAAACGTGGCGGACCACCCTTACCAAGGGACATTATTTCCTTAAAAAGGAAAGACTGGCAGATGCTACAGTTTGGCTCCGTGGATGAATTGTGAGGCCATAAGCTAAGTGAAATAAGCCAGCCTCAGAAAGACAAATACTGTATGAAACCACTTCCATGAGGCATCTCCAAGAAAATCAGGTTCATAGATACAGAAAGGAGAACGGTGGCTGCCAGGGGCAGAGGGAGGGGGATGGTACCGAGTTTTAGTTCTGGAAGACAAACAAGTTCTGGAGACCATCGGCTACACAACAATGTGAATATATTTAACACTACCGAACTGTACACTTAAAAATGAGTAAGCTGGCCCTGCCCTGGTCGCTCAATGGGGTGGAGCGTCACCCTGTACACCAAATGGCTGCAGATTGATTCCCAGGGCACATACCTAGGTTTAGGGTTCGATTCCCAATTAGGGCACATATGAGAGCCAACCAATCAATGTTTCTCTCTCACAGTGATGTTTTTTTCTCTCTCCCTTCCTCCTCTCTCTCTAAAAATCAATGAAAATATGGGGGAGGATTAAAAATAAAATGAGCAAGATGGTAAATTTTATATTGTGTATTTTATCACAATTAAAAATTATATTTAAAATTCCCACTAACAAAGTTAAGCCATCAAGTCTAGTGCCTATGATGCCACCTTGATGAGCCAGCAATTCCCATTCTATTTCACTGGGAAGGATTAAAGGAAAACATAAAGTTGGCTAGGCAAGCTCCACATACAACACAGAATGAAAAAAAGGCCTTTTCTACAACAATTCAAAATGTGAAACACTTGCTGCCCTTCAGTCCTAACTTCCAGACGTACCTGTCATTGGAGGCATTGAGTTCCAACACAGCATCCTTGAGAGCTGGGCCCAGCAGGGCTCGGGCCAAACACAGGATGCTTGTAGTTTTGCCAGTTCCGGGGGGCCCCTACAAATGAGATCGCCAGTAAGTGCTCCAAGCCAGCAGAATGACTCCTGATGAACTGTTCCCCACTTTTCACACTCACCTCCCCCTCCAACCCTCCAGCCCAACCCACAAGCCTCCTGACCAAGGAGCTCTGCGCACAAAAAAGCACTCAAGAGAGAAGCGAAAATGAGACTTCAAGACATCACCAGGGCCAGGACTAAGTACTCACAGCAATGATAATATTGGGCACATTCCCTTCTCGTGCAAAGACCTGAAAGAAGAAATGTTCGTTAAAACTGGTTTACCTGTAAACCATAAGGAGCCAAGCCTCCCAGCCACATAGTCTGTGTAGTAAACATGGCTACAAATTTCTGCATACAGATGCCCATGGAACACTCACCTCAGCATATTCTAAACTGAATTCATCATTTCCCCCTACAAACCTGAGGCCCCACCCACATTTCCCCTTCCATGGACTGTCAATGCCATCACCACCACCACCCAAGCCAGGAACCTGGAGGTCACTGAGCCATCCTCCTCACCCCACACAGCACCTTCATTACAAAGGTTCAGGCATTCCCAGTCTCCTAATTACCCCAACCCATTTCCCATACGGTAACCACAGCCAATTTTCTCAAACACACATAACAACATTTTTACCTGTAACCATTGGATGACTCTTTACTGCTCTCATCATGAAGCCCAAACTCTTTGTTTTCTTATTTATTTTTATTGAATTTATTGGGATGACATTGGGTTCAGGTGTTCCAATCTAAAATATTTCATCTGTATACTATTCTGTGTTCATCACCCCAAGTCAAGCCTCCTTCAATCACCATTTATCCCCCATACTCCCTTCTACCTCCTCCACTCCTCCTTCCCTTCTGGCAATCACCATGCTGTCGTCCATATCTATGTTTTGTTTTTGTTTGCTTGCTTAATCCTTTCACCTTTATGATTTCATTCATATATGGAATCTCATGGACAAAATAAATCAACAAACGAAATAGAAACAGACCCACAGACAGAGAACAGACTGACAGCTGTCAGAGAGGAGATGTGTTGTGGGGCTGGGAGAAAAAAGATGAAGGGCGCTGGGGATTTTCCAATGTAAATTAAGGAGTGTCTAGGCTGGCTTCATAAAGCCCAAACTCTCAAACATGGCTCATGAGGCCCTGCCCAATCTGTATCCTGCCCACCTCACGGGCTCATTTCTCACACACCCCAATACAGGTCCCTAGAGCCTTGCTCTCAGGGGCTCATGGACCAGAAGCAGCAGCATCCCCTAGGAGCGTGTTAGAAATGCACAATCTGGCCTCAAATCCAGAACTACTGCACCAGAATCAGCATTTTAACAAAACCCCCAGGCAATTCAAATGCCTATTAATGTCTGGAAAGTACTACTCCAATCGATGGCATCCCACCCAAGAACAAAACAAGCTTTCTCACTTGGGGGCCTTTGCACCTGCTATTCCTGCTTCTCTCTCACTCCTCCCCTCCAAGCTGGCTAACTCACTCAAGCTTTGGTATCACTTCTTCCACTTGGGAATAAAGATATTGTGAGGGTTAACTCTTCTCATGTGCTCCCACAGCACCCTGTCCTCCTCTAGCAGAGTGCTTATCACGTCGCCTGCTGACTTTAATGTTACCCCATTAGACTAAAAATCTTACTTGGACAGGAATCATATCTATTTATATCAATAGTTGCTAACACTGCACCATAGCTGTCCCAGAAAACATACTCAAATATCTGTAAAATGAATGCATTTTGTAAAATAAATACCTTGTTAGCTAGTATAGTGTAAGCACTGATTACTACAGAGATTGTCTTTGTCATGATTCACATAGTTGGGCTTCTTCTAGATTCTGCCTAAAGATGGCTTGGAATTCAAAGCTTGCTTTACTGCTAAACATTTCTGCCTGCCCATTTTGAAGCCAGCTGCCTGGTCACTTAGTCCCTCTAGGCAGAGGTTGGCAGACTATGGTGGGAGGGACATGAAAGGAGTGGAGGTAATCTAGCCTGAGGCCTGTTTTTATGATACCCCTAGCTAAAAATGGCTTTCACATTTTTAAAGGATTGTTGAAAAAATAAAGTTATTTGTCAAATTTAGTTATACTAGTGGCCCGGTGCAGGAATTCATGCACATTGATAGGAAATTAATTAGAAGAAATATTTTAATATCACTATCTGCCCTTTCTCTATAATAGAAGTGTCAACCAAATTCACTATCGATAATGACAGATTGAAACAGACACATGGGATTGGCACCAGTGAAATATATATATGTCTTAATTAATATATAAATTAATTTGCTTAATTAGATCTGCTTTGATTTAGCTAAACTTTTTCCAGCATGGTGAAGCACCCCAACTTCTCTTTCAGGTAATTATCAGCAACACAGTAGTAAATATCAACACAAAGCAGATTATTATTGTAGATCACACAGGGAGAACAAAGGGTAAAATATTTAACTTCAGCAGTGTTTGACTATATTCTGTACAGTGAGAAAACCTGAAGTCATTTTCAAAGTCCACTAGTTCTTACTTCTTTTCAGTCAGGTCGTTTCTAAGCTTTCTAAATCTCCATTTTCTGGCTAATGAAAAGAAAATAGGATTCCTCCGAGTCTCCTATCAACCTTTTCCAGGACTTCTATGAGGATCAAATGAGATGAGGCACGGAAAAACGCTTCACAGACATTTGGTTAAAGTATAAAAAAAATGTGTGCACCTGGCTATAAAGCAAGTCGGGTTCCTGGGCTGAAGAAACTCCAAGGAGGCTGGTCGCTAGGAAGAGGAAGCCAGGCATTGCTACGTGATGTCATTACCTGATGCTCACAGCGACCATTTCCAGCCTGGGCTGTGGGCTGCATTTCGCATCAGAGGGTCTCGGCAGCGTTGGCTGCGATTTGGTGGGCTGTCGCTCTAGGGTGGTAGCAGGGCCTGTGTCCCACTTGTTAAGTCATCAGTTATCTCATCAAAGTCAAATGTTGCTTTGTGGGCGCCAGGTTCATAGTGCCATTTCTCTGTAAATGGCCAGTGTGCGTCATAGTGGCTCCTGTGTTGAGCATCTGCCCCTGGTGGTCAGTGCATGTCATAACAACTGGTTGGACAGTCGGAGACATAGCATATTAGCCTTTTATATATATAGATATTTGCAAAAAGCCTATGGTATCTTTTAAATTGCCTTTACAGAAAGTTTGCCAACCTTGCTCTTGTCCAATAACTCCTCTCCAATAAGCCAGCCCTTCAAACATCTGAAGTTACCCACCACTTCTAGGCATCTCCAAACTGAATGTTTCCTATTCCCTCAACTCTTCTGGATCCGTGGCTTGCCCCCATTCTCCACCATGGCTGTCTTGCTCCAAATGTAGTGAGCTTTATCAAGGCACAATAATGTGGTATAAGTTTATATATATCTACACACACACACACACACACATACACCCACCTCCAGCCTGCTCACAGTATCTTCATTCCCGACTACTTCATTCAACTTCACTGGTCTATATTTCTCAACCCTGTATTAAAGAAAATGTATAAAAAGATGTTGACATAACTATTTTCATGCTACACAAAAAGAAGCACTAAAGAGTAGCAATCCTCAGCTTTGTAAGGTGATATACATTAATATATATATATATATACACACACACACACATACACACACACACACACACACACACACACACACACACCAAATGGTGGCAGGTTTTAAATTTAAGGGGGTGCCCAAGTGCCCTTTGAAAAGTTAAGTGCATGAGAATCACACACCGGAAGCTCCACACCCACCACAGCAAAGAAATAGCTGTTGTTGCTGGAGAAGGGCCAGAGTGAGCCATCTGGACCAATGTGACACTGTCAGCAACAGTCTGCCCGTCACAACAGAGATCCAGCACACAGCACTGACATCGTTTTTTTTTCTTTTTAATAATGCTTCATGCATTTGTGCGTCATCCTTGCACAGGGACCATGCTAATCTTCTATCATTTCAATTTTTAGTATGTGTGCTGCCGAAGCGAGCACAGCACTGACATCATCTGACCTGGCAGCTATGGATGTAACCAGGCCTCCTCATGCTTTACCTGCCAATTTCTGCAGACTTGGCAAGGCGGGCACAGCAGGGCTGGCTAGACAGAAACCACAGGCCTATCTTGTGACCCTATTAGGCTACGTGGAGTAGACAGGCTAGTGGACTAATCAGACCAATACTTCTCTCTTAATTTTTATCTTTTTAAAAATACATATTTTATTGATTTTTTACAGAGAGGAAGAGAGAGGAGGGATAGAGAGTTAGAAACATCGATGAATTGGGTATATGCCCACAACTAAGGGCCATGCCCTTGACCAGAATCGAACCTGGGACCCTTGAGTCTGCAGGCAGACACTCTATCCACTGAGCCAAACCGGTTAGGGCTTCTCTCTTGATTTTTTAGAGAGGAAGGGAGAGGGATAGAGAGATAGAAACATAGACGAGAAACATCATTGATTGGCTGCCTCCTGCATGCCCTTCCCTACTCCCAACTCCTTCCTCGGGGATCGAGCCTGTAAACTGAATATATACCCTGACTGGGAATTGAACCAGTGATCTCTTGGCTCATGGGTCAACACTCAATCACTAAGCCACACTGTCTGGACAATGCTTAATGCTTCTCTTTTAAATGAATCAGCAAGCTACGCTAGAGAGAAAACTTTCTACAGTGAGAATAGAAGTGGAAGATATACATGATTTAACCATCAGGACTTCCTCAGTCCTTTACAACACTCCCCCTGATTTATTATGCAGGTGCTAGCTGTGCTCCGGAAACAGCTGCATGCAAGAAGCCTGTCTGTCACACACTATGGTAAACAGACAGTTCCCCTCAAAGACCAGCAGAGGAAGCATGCTTTTTCCTGTTCAGTTATTCTTTTTTTTTTTTTTTAAATATATTTTATTGATTTTTCACAGAGAGGAAGAGAGAGAGATAGAGAGTTAGAAACATCGATGAGAGAGAATCATCGATCAGCTGCCTCTTGCACACCCTCCACCGGGGATGTGCCCGCAACCAAGGTACATGCCCTTGCCCGGAATCGAACCCGGGACCCTTCAGTCCGCAGGCCGACGCTCTATCCACTGAGCCAAACCGGTCCCGGCTCAGTTATTCTTCATCCTCAGTCCCTTCCAAGTACCAAGCACTGTGAAAGAAGATAGAGATCTCAAAAGGGGGAAAGCGGAAGATACAGAGATAAGCAAGAGATGGTGACTGCTCTGAAGGGCTTTCCAAATGGCAGTTAGATAAGAGCTTAGCAAGTCCCACTACTGTGCTAAACTTGTTATAACAGTGGTCGCAAACCACAGCAATCAAGCCACATGCCTCAATCAGATTGAGGACGCTTTTAGCAAAGGCCAGCTTAGGAGTACCCTACTTAAGTTAATAACAATGTACCTACCTATATAGTTTAAGTTTTAAAAATTTGGCTCTCAAAAGAAATCTCAATCGTTGTACTGTTATTTGGCTCTGTTGTCTAATGAGTTTGCTGACCACTGTGTTAATAGAAACCAAGGGCTGCGACGCTGAGGAGGGACTCACCACCTGGGAATGTTAGGAGCTGAAATTTGTGCTCTTCTTGCCCTGATCAGTTTGGCTCAGTGGATAGAGCGTTGGACTACAGACTGAAGGGTCCCAGGTTCGATTCTCCTCAAGGGCATGTATCTTGGTTGCGGGTACATCCCCAGTAGGGGGTGTGCAGGAGGCAGCTGATCGATGTTTCTCTCATCGATGTTTCTAGCTCTCTATCCCTCTCCCTTCCTCTCTATAAAAAAAAAAAAAAAGAAAAAAGAAAAGAAAAGAAAAGAGATGCTCTTCTTTTCAAGGCCTTCATAGCTGCTCCATCTACCTGAGAAGTTTCTCCAGTCACATGCCTTACTCCCTGAGTTCAGGTCTTTGCTCAAATCATCAAAGTCATCTCATCAAAGGCCTTCCCTGAACACCACTGCTATTTATTTACTCCACAGCACTTGCTTTTTTACTTTGTCTTTTCTCTATCAAATGTAAGCTCCATAAGAGCTTACATTTAAAAAAAAATTATATATATAATGCCAGCCACATGGGTAATTTTAAACTTTCTGGTAGCCACATTACAAAAGGTAAAAAACAGATGAAGTTAATTTTACTAACATTATTTATTGAACCTAATATATGAAAAAATATTGTCATTCTCAACATAAAAATTACTAATGAGTTTTTCTTAATACTAAGTCCTCAAAAGCCAGATGTATATTGTACACTTATAGACCATCTCAGTTCTGACTAGCCTCATTTCCAGGGCTCCATAGACTCTTGTGGTTAGTGGCTGGGGGGCTGCACAACACAGCTGTAGATATTCCAATAAATTATACTGCACTCCATTTGCGTATCTGCTCTCATCAAGAAGAGGGGTGGGCCTGGCCAGAGGGTCTCAGCTGGTTGATCGTCTTCCCAGTGCACAGGAAAGGTTGACGCGGTCCATCGAATTGGAAGGCAACCAATCAACCAATCAACCCACCGATGTTTCTCTCTCCTTTCCTTTCCCAGTGGTTCTCAACCTTCCTAATGCCCTGACCCTTTAATACAGTTCCTCATGTTGTGGTGACCCCCAACCATAAAATTATTTTCATTGCTACTTCATAACTGTAATTTTGCTATTGTTATGAATCGTAATGTAAATATCTGTTTTCCGATGGTCTTAGTAAGCAATGTTCTGACCAACACTGAGTTTCCAGGGTTCAGGCCGGCCACCCTCCACTCCGGGTGGGCTAAGCGACCCGTGTCCCTCCCCACCTCCAAATAATCTCCTGGACACCCCCCTGGAGCCTCCAGCTCCGCTCAGGTCCCCCCCGCACCCCACGATCTCCCACTTCTGGGTCCCCCCGGACAAGACCCGCCTTTCGCCCACAAACGCTCCCAGAGCACCCATCATTTATGGCCTGGACCCTCACCACGGCAGCTCGTAGTGGCCGGCACTACCGGGGGCCTTGCTGGGGGCAGGGGCAGGGTCCTGGAATCCTGGATCGGCCGCCCCACTGCTGCTCTCCTCCATCTCCATTCTCCCGCCGCCGCTTCCCGCCGCCCGAGGCCCCGCCCCATGACGCCATCACGCAAGCCCCGCCCCTGGGAACGCGAGGGACGCCGGGCGCGAGCGGAAGCTGTGCGGCAGCCTCTTTCCGCACCTGCGCAGATGGCACCTCCCGGAGTCCGGTTGCGCAAGGTCGCTGTTGCTCGGGGAGACCTGGCGTCCGGCCGGGGAGAGAGGAAAGCGAGACCTGAGCGCCTTGCCTTCCGAGAAAGCAGGTCGCTCCCGGAAGGGACGTTCAGCGGTTTTCGTCTTCTTGTGATTTGTGTGAAAATACGTCTTCTCTCCGCGCGACCAGTAGAACAGCTTCGCCCAGGTGGGGAAGGAGCCTGCAGCCCGTGGAGAGTCCCTCCAAATGCAGGACCCACCGGGACTGACGTCCAGTGGTGCTGGGTGGCAGAAAGCCGACGTCTGCGTCCCGCCGGCACCCACTTTTCCCGATTGCTCAGGATGCTCCCATTGGGTGGGCTCCTCTGTGCGCCCTGGAACTTGACATTTATTAATGCTGCGGGTGGGAATTACTTTCATTTTGCAGATGAGGCAGCTGCCCCTCTGTAAGATGTGACTCAATTTAACTTCAGAGAAATAGGTACTTATTCACAACTGATTTGAGCATTCCTTTAGGCTGATTTTCTACCTATTTTACTCATCTTTCCTCCCATAGCTCGTGTTATAATAATAATAATAAATGAAAATATGAATAATAATTATAGTTTACTATTACTTGAAATCCCTGGGTGGTAGATTAAGGAGGTAGGAGAAAGCAAAGCGGAGAAACCTGTCGGATTGATTAAAAAGGGAAAATAAAAAAACATACTTCTTTCCATTGGTGGATAGTTAATCTTTAACATTTGCAGTACATAGAGGAAGTATTGGGGCAATGAGATAACAAGGGTTCTGTGGTCTCCTGCACTGATGCCAGCAGTGCCCTGAGGGTCTGGAAAAGAAGATTACTCTGGCATTTTAAATGTTATCCTAGAAGCAAAAAGACAGTCGACAGGCTTGCTTAAAGACTGATCTTTATCAAGGAAGTTACAGGCCTTGGCTGTGACTAACCACCTTGACCCACACCCACGTTAGTTAGGAATTTATGTTGGTAAGGCCTGCCATGACTTGTCAGGTTTAGTATAAGGCTCTTTTTTGTCCGCAATATGTAACATGTAGACTTTTTGCCTTCTATGTGGTTGAGCAGTCATTCAAATAAATAGGGGCTCCAGAATCTATATTGTAGGTGATTGTTTTTCTAATTTTTTAAAATTATTTTTTAAATTCTCACCCCAGGGTATGTTCATTGGTTATAGAGAGGGAGGAAGGGAGAGAGAAAGAGAGGGAGAAACTCCGATGCAAGAGAGAAACTTGAGCCAGTTGCCTCCCCTACACACCCAGACCAGGACGGAACCCACAACAACCCTTTGGTGTATAGAAGAACCATGCTCCAACTGAACCACACTGGCCAGAGCAATTGTTTTTCTATTTTTGTCCTTAACATTTTCATTTTCCTTACTCCCTCCCCTCCAATGCCTTGTCCATTGTGGAAATTTTTGGGGAAGACAATATTGCTGTTATATTTATTTTTCATCTGTAAATTCTGTGCTCCATCGATCCAAACATTTTATTTTTGAGGATATAGTATCTACCCCTAGTTTATTCCCTTGTGTGCTGTAGGGTAGTGGGCCTCGAGCTGATGTCTGCCCATGGCTCCTTCCAGTTACACAGCCAGGCCAGCAAGGTCCCAGCAGCAGGCACAATTCACAATTGTGTTCTGAGATGGGACCAGAGCATGTGCTTCCTCGTTCTTTTCAAGTTATTGCCAATTGGCAGGAACCTCAAATGACTCATTCTGAAGCAGTTTATTTTCATGAAGGTAGTTATTAAAGTTTCCAGGTTCAGAACTTACTTGGTATTTTTCTTTTTCCTTATATATGAATTGGAAA